GTGATGTTCTTGGAGAAAAGGGCTCGAGAAAGCCTGAAAGCGATTCTGAAGAAGTGACCGATGTTTCCACAGGACAACATGTGAAACCAACGTCTCTCAAAGAAAAGTTTCCGATTGGATACATGCATCGACTTTCGGATGATTCAGACGACAGTGAGACAAAGTGAGCGACTCATTTAAATGTTCAATCAGCTCATTAATATATTACAGAGACACCGAAACAACACCAGAAGACTGTCCATCACCGCCTAGAAAGAAGTCAAAGAGAAACTCAGGTCCTCCTTCCCGCTACCAAGCTTCCTTCAAATAAACCCCAATTGGCTTCAATTTTTTTTCTCATCTTAAGGTCATTCTTAATTGTCTAATCCTTTTTTTTTGTTTTTGCATTCTTTGTTGTTGCTGTTGTGTTGTTCAACTATGAATTGTTGCCACATAAAATTGTTCTGTTTTGTCTTTAAAACATTGAAAAAAAATTGAATCCGAATTATCAAAATTATTTAAAAAATAAGAAAAATTTCAATTACCACGAAAATTGAGAAAAGATGAGAAAAAATGGAAAATGGAGAAAAACCGAAATATTGCGAAAAAACGGAAAATTGGGAAGAACGGAGGAATATGGAAAAAAGGAAGATGAGAAAAATTCAGAAGTTCCAAAATTTGTAGATTCTGAAATTTCAAAATTCTGAAGTTCTGAAACTCTGATGTTTTCGAGCTCTGAAATTCAGAAACTCCCTCAAAAAAAATTGTACCCCCGAATCACAAGCGTTGTACCCCTAAATGAAATGAGTTGTACCCCAGAATCATTGGTAGTTTGTACCCCCGAATCGTTGTACCCCCGAATTTTTGTACCCACGAATTTTTTACCCCCGAATCATCAATTTTGTACCCCTAAATCAGTTGTACCCCCTTGTACCCCCGAATCATTGTACCCCCCGAATTTTTGGCCGAATATTAGGACCTGGGGGAGGGGAGGAATTGCTGGGCGGCGGCGTGGATCCTATATGCTTTAGTCGGCGCATGTATCCTATATGCTCGCATAATGCGCCCCTATATGTTTCGTATTGCGAGCATATACTGCACCGCGCGATCCCATATAACGTTCCTCGCGATCCACCTGTGTAAATCCCTTGTGACTCCGCCCACTTCCGCTCCTTCACCAGGCGTCTTCACATCATCAGACCCACCTGGGCCTGCTTATTGGATTATGGTACTTGCCATATCTATTCATTCTCATTCCTTTTTTCTATTGTTCCTTGCACATTCTAATATTCCATTTTTCAGATCGATAATGCTCAGCTACCCAAGCTCTTTGTGCATTTTTGAGCATCTGGATGTGAATAGAAGGTTAGTTATAACGGATCCTATACCCCTAGAGCCCTTAAATATTGTTTGTAAAGTTTTATAAATAATCTGAAAGACAATTTCAAACCATGCGATTCTGTCCAGAAACCAACTTTCTAGCTCATCTAGAACTCGAGACACGGTCATTTGAAGTTTCCAAGGTTAGAGACGCAGCGTGTCTCGTCGTCTGCGTCTCTAGCCTCCTAAACTTGAAGCGGCTCTAGAATTGCAGGAAATGTTGTCTATTTTATAACCAAAACAAGTTTTTCAGTTTCGTTCGATCCTCATATTCCTAGATCCCTAGATCCCTAGATCCCTAGATCCCTAGATCCCTAGATCCCTAGATCCCTAGGTCCCTAAATCTCTAAATCCCTATCATCCCTATCATCCTCACTACATTCCAGACTCCAACTCGCCGCTAAATGTCCATCTCTCCGAACCGCCCATAGAATCGCCCCAATGAAAATCGAAGACCTGGAAATCCAGGAATCCTCAATCACCATCAACAACTGCGTCCAAGAATTTGAAGCCATCTCTCCCACAGAGATACAGTACACCTACACCAGAATGGGATGCGATTGGAAGTCTTCTGTCCAAACCCTGCATACTCAAGCTACAGTAACTCAAATTATCAAATCCCTAGTTGCCAATTTCTTCGGAAAGAACGCCAAAATCCACGTGAAGAATCTGAAAACTACCAGTGGACTTCTAGAAGCATTTGGACCGATTTTGAAGCTCTCAACGCCACTGGAAAAGCTGCGTACTAGTGTGAAGGGTCCATGGGACTCAATCTTCTCAAACCCGATTCTTAGATCTGCTCGCTGGTTGGTCCTGGACGATCTCACGGAGACGATTGACTGGGCGGACACCCTAAAACCCCTCGAGAACCCAAGAATTCAAATGGAAGGCTCCCAAATTGATCAAGACGTTTTGCATCGAATGGTTTGGGATTGGTTGGAAAAGCCACGGCCGATCGGGTATCGATTTACGACTCCGATCAGTGTCCGAGTCATCATGCGGTCGTTCTACGTGGAATTTGGGGCGTTCTGGAAGGATATTCCAACTGAATAGTGAGTTGAAAAGGAGAGGAAAAATTCACAAATTCGGAAAATTTTTTTAAAATTCAAAAATTCCGAAATTCAAAATTTCAAAAGTTCCAAAATTTAATAATTCAAAAGCTCCAAAATTTAAAAATTCAAAAATTCCAAAATTTAAAAATTCCAAAATTCCAAAATTTAAAAATTCCAAAATTCAAAAATTCCAAAATTCAAAAAATTCCAAAATTCAAAAGTTCCGAAAATTCTGAAAATTCCAAAATTTAAAAATTCAAAAATTCAAAAATTCAAAAATTCAAAAATTCAAAAATTCCAAAATTCAAAAATTCAAAAATTCCAAAATTCAAAAAATTCCAAATTCAAAAGTTCCGAAAATTCTGAAAATTCCAAAATTTAAAAATTCAAAAATTCAAAAATTCAAAAAATTCCAAAATTCAAAAGTTCCGAAAATTCTGAAAATTCCAAAATTTAAAAATTCAAAAATTCAAAAATTCAAAAATTCAAAAATTCCAAAATTCAAAAATTCAAAAATTCCAAAATTCAAAAAATTCCAAATTCAAAAGTTCCGAAAATTCTGAAAATTCCAAAATTTAAAAATTCAAAAATTCAAAAATTCAAAAATTCAAAAATTCAAAAATTCAAAAATTCCAAAATTCAAAAATTCCAAAATTCAAAAAATTCCAAAATTCAAAAGTTCCGAAAATTCTGAAAATTCCAAAATTTAAAAATTCAAAAATTCAAAAATTCAAAAATTCAAAAATTCAAAAATTCCAAAATTCAAAAATTCCAAAATTCAAAAAATTCCAAAATTCAAAAGTTCCGAAAATTCTGAAAATTCCAAAATTTAAAAATTCAAAAATTCCGAAATTCAAAAATTCAAAAATTCAAAAAAAAAATTCAAAAATTCCAGAAATTCAAAAATTCAAAAATTCAAAAATTCAAAAAAAAAAATTCAAAAATTCCAGAAATTAGAAAATTCAAAAATTCAAAGATTCGAAAATTCAAATTCCCTATTTTTTCAGCAACGGCAATACCTACTGCCTTGTGATCCACACCACTGACACCTACGAACTTGTTGTCTACAGCCAAAGAAATCCCAATTTGGTTTTCGACCCTCGTCTTAGCGATGATGAATCGAAGCTAGCGCTGTTCACTCTGGAAGTGGTCCCTCTTGGAAAGACCTTGCCGTGTTCGACACGATTTGCTTAACGTTTTTGCTTGATTTTTTGTTGCAATAATAATTTTTGAGATCCTTAATGAAGAATATATTCTATCGCTGTTTGCGTACTTTTGTAGCTACAGTAATCCTTGGAAATGCACTTTTCGCACTTGTCAACATCAAATTCGAATTCTCCATCTATTATTCAGTCTATGTGCCAATTTTCCAAGCAAATGTTGTCGAATCCACGTGGCTATTCACCGACTCGCCAACTTTAAGATATTCTGAGGACCTCTAGGCCCAGCCCACTGTGCTTACTCCTCAGAAATCTTCCTATTTCCCACTTTATTCTCTTTATTTTCCTTTGTTTATTAGTCTTTTATTGCTTTCTCATATTCAAACTCCCGCCAATTTTCTCTCCCTTCGTGCAAGCGCGCCCTATCGTTGAGGTGAGAACTGACAGATTGGTGAGAACTGACAGTGGTAAGGTGACACCAAGAGAAGCCGCGTACTCGTCAACTTCGTATCTCATCAGTTCTTTTCTTCCACCATTTCGTTTGAAGAAGTCTTGAACTTCGATCCAAAGATCATTTTTACTGGCTATTACGCTTGATGAGATGCCGCGCGTTGAAAGGAAAGTGAGCAATTCTTGCTTTGACGAATTTTTGGTAGGAATCTATAAAACTCTGTAAATTTGCTTTTCTCAGATAACCAAAAACCTTTTCCACCACTGAATTGTGGATGCTAGCATTGTCGATAACCAATACAGCTTCCCGTCCAGCTGGTGTGGCTTTGACGATCATTGGCAACACCTTCATCATGTACTTCTTGTACATTTCCGAATTGATATACTGATGATAATCGACAAGCACCTCAGAATCTGGCCGCTTGGAAACAACAATATCGATGGATTCTGGCAGAATCTGGGATTCCGTAGTCACCGCAAGCACGATGGCTCTTTGGCCTTTGTCCGATGCTGCTGGGAATCCAGGCCTCGGATTATTCAAATTCCCCCAATGAGTGATCAAATAGGGATTTGTGTCAACGTGATTCCAACCGCGAATTTTCGTCATTCCGTGGAAAATCCACGTCTCATCGTAGTAGCAGATGAACGCTCCTTCCAATATCAACTTATCCATCAGTTTCAGATACTTTCTGCGCCACTCGATAATATCTTTACGAATAGTGGCAAATGGATTGTATTGCTTCAATTTGAAGCTCAATCTTAGAGCACGTAGCTGTCGATATAGCGTTGACGGACTATATGAATAGCCATACTGGTGCTCCAAATCGGCGTGGAGCGTTGAGATGGAGAAATTTGCATCTTCTTCATGGCATTTATCGATGTGATCAAGGATTATTTGCTTTTCCTCTTCGGAAAGATGCTTCAGAGCAGTGGAGTTTCTTAATTTTCTGGTGTCTACATGACGATCTTTCGCCTTAGAAAGGAACTGTTTTGCTTTCGTAAGAGTCGATTCAGAAACACCGAACATCGCGCGGGCCAGTTTCATCACACTCCCAAATATCGTTTCCCTCGCAAATTTTCCCATTTGTTTTTTCAAGTTCTCGAGCTGCTTGATACCGTTTTGTAAAATTTGAGAGCCGCGATGATCTCCAGCAGGCTTTATAACATCTACTGTAGTCATTTTCGCCACTACTTCTCCTAACGCCATCATTCTATCGACCTGTTAAAACAAATTACGTATTTCCCATCTCAGATCACACTGTTAATACCTTTGTCTGAACGGATGGTTTGGAGGTGGTTTTTCAGGCTCGGTTTGCGTTTCGCAGTTATCTCCATTATTGATGACTGCAATACCCATTTCGTTCTTATCAAGCAACTGTAACTGTTCCAATGTAAGCTTATCTCTCTGGATAACTCTTGATCCATTTCCCCAGCTGTTTGTGTAACGGACCTTCACTAACGGTGGTAGCATTTTCTTAGAAGCTATTATTAAAAAATTCCTCTTTGTTTTTTACGGTTTGAAAAATTTTAGCTCTGGTCAACTATTGAATTCAGGAAATAGTCCGAATAAAAGAAAAACAATTTATTGAGTATGGATGAAAAAAATTTTTATTTGAAAAGATTTTTCAAAAAATGAAGTCCATTTCGACATTCTTCCTTCGGTTATAATCATATCTATCCTTAAAATCATTCGAATTTTTGGTGGCTCATTCTCGATGTTTCTGAAAGATAGAAAATAAGAAGGAAGGAAGATAAGCGGGAAAAATGAGCAAACCACCACTACAACCCGACAATTATTTGGTATTAACACTCGTATTCGATTAGTTGCCTGGAGCATCTACCCTCCAACTCCTTCTAAAGGTTCCCTCTACCCACGCAACGACACTCCGCTATCCCGCTCGGCGCGCGCACAGTTTAAATTTAGTTTTGAGGGATTACGAGCTTGGATTTGGCTCGTGGTTGTTCTAGAGACTCTTTTAAGGATTTCAAGTGAGTTTGCTTGAATTCTTAGCTTTTATTTGTTGTTTCTTTCTAACTTGTTCATAATAAACCGATTTTGTTGCATTTCTTGTTGATTTTCTTCTATTTTATCACAGGAACCTGATACCCCGGACATACCGCGGGCAATTGATTCATCGTATGACAATGTGTCTTCATTGTTGTGGATTAATCTGAAAAAATACTGACGGCGAAGAAATAACTGTCCTAATTATTGAACTAACCGCAACACCACATTAAAATAAACAGAAGCTCTCTTCCAGCCACATCATTATTTTTCTTTGATTACGTCATCTCGTTGTGTTTGCCGATGAGCGGTGGTTCCTGAAAAAAACTCGAACATTCCAGAAAGAAAAAGATAAACGACATGGATATGGAGAAATAGAAGACAAAAAGAGTATCGCGCAATTATTTTGCTTTTTATGTACAAATGATCAGTAAAAAACGTTCAAAAACCGACGAATATGCATTTTCTCTTTGTCATTTATTTAAATTCCTGATTAAATAAAAGAAAAACAGCAAAAAACTATGAAAAACAGAACATATTCGGCGAAATCTGCTGCGAAATATGTGAAAAGCTAAAAAACTTTCAAATTCAACATTTTCCCGCCGGGTTACTGTCGCACTCGTTTCAACTGTGTTTGTTTACGTTTTTTTTTTGTTTACGCTTTCAGATATTTGTTTACAAACTTCGCATACACTTCGCCTCAACCTTTTTTTTCTGACAAGAATAATAAATAAATGTTATTTTTTCAATTGCTATTGTCAATTCAAAAAGATCGCACCGGTGAACACACAAACAAACAAGTAAACAAGGGGGCGGAGCGATCCGCCCCTTTTCGCAAGGCGCCGCGCAGTTTTTCGACGGTATTTTAATGTCGCCGTTTTTTTGGTTATTTTTCACTGAATTTCTTCCGAATTGAAGGAAATTTGTTGATTTTTTTCTATGTCATCTATTTAAAAAATCGCCTTCTGGTACCACAATTATGAAGAAGTGAAATAATCTGCTGTTAGTCGACAAATTACTCCAAATACTTCTCCGATCGAGATTTTCAGGTTTTTCAGGAAAATTTGCAATGATATTTCATGTATTTAAGTGATTCCGAAGCTTTTCTTCCTCTTCTTTCCATCATCGTGGGCTTCGATACGTCACATCGTCTTGCTCTTTTCATTTTCACCCTGAATCAAAGAATAGTGTTTCCCAATAGTGTTTCTCAGTTTTTATTAGAACAAAGTTATGTATTCCTTCACAAAATCGACGAATTTCCTTCATTTCGAAAGAAATTCGGTGAAAATTAACCAAAAGACGGCGACACTAAAATACCGTCGGAAAACTGCGCGGCGCCTTGCGAAAAGAGGCGGATCGCTCCGCCCCCTTGTTTACTTGTTTGTTTGTGTGTTCACCGGTGCTATTTTTTTGAATTGACAATACTTCTCTTTACCATACTTGTAATCCGGGCCTTCGCGGGCCCTGCCATAACTTCTTTCAGAATCAATGTTTTCGAACTAACTCAATCAGGTATGATAGAGCTCCACGAGTACTACAAAACGGTATTATTTGAAATACTGTATCTTGTCTATGAACAGAGTTACAAAGCAAAAGGAGCAAAAAAAAAAGCAGGGCCCGCCCCGGGCCTGCCGGGCCCTGCGAGAAAAGCCACTTTATGATCTGTAACTTTGTTCATAGACAAGATACAGTATTCCAAATAATACCGTTTTGTAGTACTCGTGGAGCTCTATCATATCTGATTTAGTTGGTTCGAAAATATAGATTCTGAAAGAAATTATGGCAGAGCCCGCGAAGGCCCGGATTACAAGTATGGTTTTTACCGTTTTTTTCTCACAGCGATCAATATAATGTGACTTGTTGTATATAAATTGTTGTTACTTCCAGAAAATTACGCGAAAATGGGTGATAACAACGAAGAAATTGGAAAGAATCCGAAGATAGATTCGCAGTCAGAAAAATTCGAAATTCTTGAAAAACTAAATTCACAGGAACAAAAGTTCGATGAATTCGCAAAAAAGCTACAATCCATCGAAGAATCAGTCTCGAAAATTCCAAAATTTGATGACGACGAGAGAAAGACGATGATGAAGTTCGAAAAACAATTGGAATCATTAGAAAAGACAATGTTGTTGAATGTGACATTTACAGAAAATAATTCACTAGAACTTATTTCCGTTCCAGAATCAAAACAAGAAGGAGCTGAAATCAGAAAAAAGATTCGTGTTGAAACATGTGTTCAAAAATGTGACAAGTTTAGAAGAAGATCAGCAAAGTACCAGCGAAGAAGAAGAGCATTTCAATGTGAAATGGTAGTTTTCATTTGACTTCGACAAATCATGCTACATTTTCTGCATCATTCTTACTTCTAGATTAATAACAGAGAAAAAAACTACTGAAATTTTTTTTTCATGTTTCATTTCAGCGCAATCCAAATTGAACGCCAAGAAAGCAGTCATTTTGAAATTGTTGCTTTTTGTGAGCCGGATGCTCCGGTCGGAGATGAATGGTGGGTAATGACGACAACAGTGTCATCAAAACTATGAAATTCTGTTTTGAACCGGGACGCGCATGGATAGTTCTTGATTTTCTGAAATGGAAAGAAATTAGAGATTATCTTATCGATGGTAATTTGACTGTTGAAGTTGAAATTAAGATTCTAAAAATGACTGGATTGGAAAAAAAGAAGTTTCGAAAATTCGATGAATCCCAAAAAGACGTTTCCGATGTTCTTCTGGTAGTGCAAGACACCAAATTCTATGTCTCAAAAACGGTTCGTTTTATTTTTCTCATTTTTCACCGAATTATTGATTTTCCTTCAGTACCTCGCCGCTCAATCTAGTTTCTTCAAGACACTTTTCCTTGGAAATTTCTCGGAATCAAGCAAATCCGAAATCCCACTGTCTGGAATCGATTCCGACGATTTTTTAGGATTTGAAAGTGAATTTAGTTACTTTTCAGAAGAAAAATTTTCTTAATTTTCAGAAAAAATGTATGTCGGACATCAAGACGGTCGCTGATATTCGAGCAGTTCTTCCGTCAGTCATCAACGATTTGGATTCACGAATTATGGCTGAACTACTCGAGAAAGCACTTTCTCTTCATTAATTCGTTCAATGTTTGAAATTTATTTTTTGTCAATTGTGTTCTTTTTTATAAATACAAAGCTTTTTCGAGCGATTTCTGTTTTTTTTTTCTGTTTTTTAAAATCGATTTCATGCAAGTTTTCAGTTAAATATTCATCTGAAATTCACTTTGAAACTTTTATTAGCGCATGTTTTTTGCAGAAAATGACCGATAACGAAGAAAGTATGGACACCGGCGACAATCAGAAAATCTATTCTACACTGAAAAATAATGAAATTCTTGAAAATCTGAAAACAATTTTCGTGAAAACAGAGGAAATCGAAAAAAAAACAAAAGGAAATTTCTATTGAGCTTCAATCTGTCAAAAAATCGATTTTGGAGAAAAATGTGTCAACTACCGTGAATATTCAGCAGAAGACGAGCAGTGTGGTTGTGGAATCCGAGAAAGGATTTGTTCTAAGAAAATCTTTTAAAATCTTTAAAATCCATTTTTATTGGCCATTAGTCTTTGACTACACCACTCTTTGACTACACCTACTCTTTGACTCCACATTCTCTTTAACTACAAAGTCTCTTTGACTACACTTGTCTCTTTGACTACACTTTTTCCGTTTGATAGTCAGCCGTGGAAGCGAATTATATGACTTTTTCGTTTTTTTTTAATTATTTTTCTTTTTTCTGATTATCTGAAGTTTCATTTTTTCTCTTTTTTTCAGGACTTTTTTTTTCAGGGCATAAACTGAGATTCAGAAGAAATGATTTGTTTTTTTTTCAAAAAACAGCAATGGGAAGATTTCATTCAGGATCCTAATTTGTAAGAAATCTGAACCATATTAATCAACGAACAACGATTTCAGATGGACGTCTACCGCTATGGTTACTGTAGCCCAACTAGATTGTTTAAATTGGGGAAGATCATTGATGTTTTGTCTTCCAGAATCAACGGATTCTATTCCATATGGTTACCTCCAGTGGTCAAAAACTGTGAATGGGAAACGTGTCCAGCCCGCCTACCGTAATCTGAAAATCAATCAGAAAAGCTATAAACTGGTCAAATGTATGGAAGCGAATAATTCTATGTTTCGTAAAGAAGTACTACATTATGAATCAGCAATTTATGTCCACTATTTTTTGGAAAAAGACGGGATTTTTGAAGTTCCAGACGCTCAAACTGTAAGAAAGCCAAGAATTCAAACGGAAATGGCGAAGAAACTCAAAGAAAACGTTTTGCCGTTCCTACTTCACAAGCTCTTGTCTTCTCTCAGAATATGGGTTTAGAAGTAACGAGAAAACAAATCTGGAATTTGAAACGCTCTGTTCCCTCATCAGTCTCTGGTCCTAGTGGACGAGGAGTCGTAACAACTCTCGAAAATGTTCGAGATATTGTTAGTCCTTCCGGAGTTGTTTTTTCTTCAAGATTGTTAGTAGTATAGTAATGGAGGATTATAGTACCGTTTCCATTTCCCCACCATTTTTTCAAATCCCCTTTTTCACCCATATTTCCACACTTTCTCTTCTGTTTCCTTGAATTATCAAAACAATTAGCTGAAAAACGCCCATTTTAGGCGAGCACGAAAATCGTGTTCCGAACACGAAAATAATACCACTTTTTTCAACCTCTCAAAACAGTCAATTTTCACCCCAACTGATAACAAATTCTTTACACTTAAACACTTTTTCAACTCTCTTATCAATTTGTTCTCATGTCAGAATGGTAAAGCGCCTGCCTTGTGTTTGAATGCTAGAAAGTTCGAACCCCACTCAAAAGCTCAGGATTATCCACTTAATGAGATCCGAAAAATATGCAAGAAAAATTGAAAAAAAATCGAAAAAAACGAAAAAAAAATCATGAAAAAAACTGAAAAAATCAGAAAAATCAGCCAAAAATTCTCGTCGAGCAAACATGAAAAAATCAACCGTCAGAACCATGAAGAAACGGCAAAAAAATCAAGTGTTAACCTAACACTCTTTTCATTCAATTCTTTACCATTATTACGTTTTATTAAATGCTGAATAAAGATTTGAAACCATTAACAAATGTAGATTTATTAGAAATAGCAAAAGAGTTGCAAATCAAAGATTTCAGAGGTGTATTCCAATCTTTATAATTCAATCAATAATATAGAAAAATTAAATTTTGTCCAGATGTAATTCTTCCATTTCATCGCGAGCTTCTCCTGCTTCTTTTCTAGCTCGCGTTTATGTTTCTTGATTATTTTTCCAGCTTGTCTTCTTTCGACGCGGTTCTGTAAAAGAAACATCAAACTTAAATATGAAAATCAACAGATTATTACCGAAGCTTTTTTGTCATACAATTCCCGTCTTTTTTTGATTCGAGCTACTCCGACTTATACTCTCTTTCAAGATTTTCAAGTTTCGCCTCCTCCACCTTCACATCGCTTCGAAGTTTTTCTAGTTTCCCGTTTTGAGCTTCAATCTAAAATCAAACAATGTAGAAATTAGTACACATAAAACTTACCCTTGCTACACGATTTTCTATCCAGTCATCTTCCCTTTGTCTCTTAAGATATTCTTGCCCATCTGCGACTGTGATTTTTTCCTTATCTTTTATCAGTTTCTGACTTTGATGTACCACAGTGGTCGGAGATAGTGCGGTATTTGGTGGATCCACTTCCATTTTTAAAATACAAACTTTAAGAAACAACTACAAAGAGTAGGGAAAAAATTTCAAAATGAGAAAAAAAAATGGAAAAAGAACATAAATGTCAAACTCTTATCTACACATTCCTGTTTTATGTTCCTAATAAATGGATATGTACTGTTTAAAGTGTCAAAAGCGCACAGGTTCTAACAGTATAACAAAGACATTAACCAAAAATAAAAAGCAAATATTCAAAGGAAACTGTCAAGTATGTAAAGCAATCAAATGTAAAATAGCTTCAACTCTAAAAACTGGTGGTGACATCAAACCTATGAAAACGTCAAAAAAACCTAACATCATTCTCGAACAAACTTTTTACAATCCTGAAACTGGATTTTGTGGTATCAACGAACTTCAAAGAAAAACTAAAATACCAATCAAGGAAGTCAAACAATTTCTAAATGAACAAGATGTCTACACTCTTCACAAACCTGCTAGAAAGAATTATCAGACAGAAAGAGTTTATATTCACCATATAGATGAACAGTGGCAATCCGATCTTGTTGAAATGATTCCATATGCAGAAGAAAACAGTGACTTCAAATATCTGTTAACGGTAATTGACTCTTTTAGTAAGTATGCTTGGGTAGTTCCACTCAAAACAAAAACTGGAAAGGAAACTGCAAGTGCTTTACAATCCATTTTCAAAACCAGGAAACCTCAAAAAATGCAAACCGATAATGGAAAAGAATATTATAATCAGGAAATGAAAGCTCTATTCAAAAGTTTTGATATCAAACATTTTTCAACTTATTCAGACAAGAAAGCCTCTATCATAGAAAGATTCAATAGAACTCTCAAAGAAAAGATGTGGAAAATGTTCACTCATCAAGGTAATCATAAGTGGACTGATATTTTAGATAAATTAGTTCAAGGATACAATAATCATTATCACCGTAGCATAAAAATGACTCCCATTGAAGCATCCAAAAAAGAAAATGAAGATCAAGTACATGAGAACCTGTTCCCCTCCTCGAAAGAAATGTTTGAAAACTTCAAGTTCAAAATAGATGATACAGTAAGAATTACAAAGTACAAAGCTATTTTTGATAAAGGTTATCTACCTAATTGGAGTACAGAAATATTCAAAATCACTCAAGTTCATCCAGGGGAAGTCACAACATACTCCATTAAAGATTTAGCAGATGAAGAGATCAAAGGAAAGTTTTATGAAGAAGAACTTACTCTGTTTAATAATGTCAAAGAAGAATACAAAATAGAAAAGATACTGAAACGTAGAACTAGGAAAGGAGTAAAAGAAATGTTTGTAAAATGGTATGGATATCCTGAGAAATTTAATTCATGGATCCAAGATAACTAAACACTAACAACTTTAACGCGATTATCTTTAATTTCAACAATATTTTCACTCATTATCAAACAATAACATTTTGTGTTTTGTACAATACTCTTTGAAAAGGAAGCTTTTATTGTAACGTCAGGTCTTGATTGGATAATTCTATCATTTTGTTTAGATACATCGAACACCAACAATGGGTAATAATAATAGTATACATCTTCTTCCATGAAAATGTAATCCTTTGTCGATTCATAGTAACTGTTTCTAAACTCCTTTGCGAAATTGTATTGTTGAACAGCATTGAACTTATCGAAATCAAACTTTAAACAATCATGAGGATATCTCTCTGAATTTAATTCAACATAAATTTCTTCTAATCCACAGTTGTCAAATTTACCAGCATTTAGGTAGTTGTTATCTCTATTGCTCTGCAAAGCAACCACAATATACTTTATTTTATCGTATTTTGTTCCCAATTTCCATGTGAATTCCCTATTTCCATTAGGTATATTATAACTTTCCAACTGTCTAGAAATAAAAGGCATCTGTACAAGCTTGCTACTCTCAAAAATATTCAACAGTTTATTTTGCATTTCAAGACTAGGAACAATTTTTGGAATAATCCATTGTAATTTTTTAATATTTATCTTAGCTGTATGTTTTTTAGCATCATTAGATGTAATACTATTTTTGTTCTCAGGAGATCTGTAGAGAGTGAGTTGATGCTTTCTACCATAAACTATTTTATTATAACATTCAGCAAATCCAAACATATGTGTCAAAGGAATGCAAAAAGTAATACTTCCTTTTCTATTTTTTGTATACTTGTTAATCTTGTATGTAATAATATCTTTAGTTTCTAGAATCCAACCAAAAGTGTTTTGTTTATTCATGGTGCTGCTATATGTTAAAAGTCCTTTCATCAAACTAGCTCTACCAGGATCCATTATACTTTCAACTTGCATACCATCCATGCTATATGTTGATCTATCAAACAAAAACATTGGTGCATTATTAGTCAACGAGACCTCATCTGTTTCAGCCAACACAGTGTCATCTGGTTTCAATAGTTCACATTCCATATAAATATAAGACTTGTGTAAGTGTAGGTATTGATCACACGTTTCTATGACAAAATTGATTTCTCCATGTTGGTTCAAACTAGATCCAGAGGAAGGAAATATGCTTATAAGATTCTCTTTTTGTATAGAGGTGTCACTCACAATAGGGGTATCAACTACCAATATCCTATCAACAGCCTCAATCATTTTCAATTTATTTAGGGAAATTTCATTTACTAATTTTCAAAAGTAATAAATGAGAATAGTATCTGTGGTGATTTTCTTTTTAACTTTATATCAAAGTACATTAGGTAAGCCCATCATTTGTACTGAGAACTCACCAGTTCAATATTTTAGAATCCCAAAACTACACAAATGTAATTATCATAGAATCCTTAACTCAAAATCAGAACCAGTTCAATATGAAGTTTTCAAGCCAAACATTATTGAATACATTTCAGATGCTAAACTTTGTAAAAAATTAGTCAGTGAGGTTTCAATGTACACAGACTTTTCTGGATATGAACATACAGTAGAAAAAGAATTGAACAACTATCCCATCACCCTAGCTGAATGTAGAGAAATGATTAATAGTAAGAAATGTGGATACGGAACTTTATCAAAAGGTAGTTCTAACGTTTGGAGTACAAACAAT